AAAAGACGCCATAGCTAGCCTTCCTCTGTAATTCTGGATAAAGACGATGAGGGGCTGTGGAATGAGAAAAATGGCTCAAAAAAAAAAAAAAAAACTAGTTTTTAATGACTAGTGGAATAATTGGAGACAAATTTTAAAACTGAACTAACTAAAATAGTTAAGAAGAAATTTTTAAAAAACTCTTTGGAGTTGCTCTAATAATGTTATGAAGTACCTGTCAAAACTGCTTTGATTGCTGCCCCTGGTGTTTGCCGAGTAATGATTCAAAGCAGATGGTGTTGATGGCATACATGGCATGGCAGCCACTCTTTGAATTATTAAATCAAGGGGACGTTTTCACTTTTTTCTATTTCTTTAGTAGTTACGGTCTTTGTTTATCATATAATAATAATAATATTATTATTATTATTATTATAATGACCATAAATGTCACTTTGCGAAAGAGTCTATGAGGCATTGACCGATAATATTGCAAACTTGTTAGCGTACCTCGCACTCGCACTCATGAAATTCCCTCCATGACGTATTTGCTTCTGATTTTGTTTGAAAGATTCCTCTGATCTACTCAACCCGATCCAATTAATTTTTAACTCTTTTAATTTTATAAGAATTAATTCATCAAGAAATGAAAATATAAAAGAATTCAAAATTTTCAATGAGTTATTTGGGTTTGATAAAATTAAAAATTCAATACTAAATCTCGAATTTAAATGTTTATTACTGAATTTTTTAATATAAAATTGTTTTGTATGTATTAAAATTTAAGCATCAAATTAATTGATTAATATAAAAAATTGAAATTTAAAAATTATTTTCTTTAATGTGGCCTGTGTGGTCACATTGGAATGATGGCGTCAGTAATCAAACACCATATTAATTCCTTTATTATTTTGCACTTGCAAGTCATATTATATTATTTTTAAATTTACAGTAAAAATTTATTGAATCTCAATTGTCTGTCTAATTTGTGTTATGTTGTTGTATTAATAATTGTCACCCTACCTTCATGGTATCTATCTATCTATATATATATATATATATATAGGAGGGAACTACAACTACAATGGATGTTTATTCACTCTAGAAGAAGGGGCTAACTCAAAGGATACAAATTTTCAACTGCCCCTGCTTCTTTGACGACTCCGAACCATGTATTGACTCCTTTATTTTTTTCTTCCAAAGGAGGATTGGCTTTTTCGAAAATTAGGAGTTCCCAAAGTGTTTGATTTAGTTGTGATTTGTGACTACACATGATTCAAATACCAATATCTGCTAGGGTAGCTCAATACAAATTAGGGCTCAAAGTGAGAATTTTATATGAAACTTTATTTAATATTTTAAGACGATAATAATTTTTTTAACCATTATTAGACGTTTTATAGAGAGTTGCGATATGATTTATTTTTAATATTTTATTGGCTTTGGGATTGGGTGGGATCAAATAATAAATTAAGTGTAATTGTGAAGTAGGAAAATAAATTGACTCAAGTCTTAAAGAAATAACAAGAAAGCTAGAGATTAGGATAAAGAATCACATCAAGACAATAAGAGTGTGAGGGAGAGGAAAGGTTGGAGAGAAGTGGTGAGAATGAAAGAAAAATTAGTGAAAATAATTTGAGAGCCTACCATTTTTAAAGTTAGAAATTATTACTTTTAGATTTTTTTATAAGACTTGATTATATTTTAGGACTTTATATATATAAGGCTTTTTATAGACTTGCTAACATATTATTATTTTTTAGGGTTTTTTTTATAAAATTTTAAATAGATTTATGAAATATATTGAGCCTTTAACTTGATACTTGATCCATTCAAAAGACTCTCAGTACATGAAATTGAACTAAAAAGTAAAAATTAAGTTGGGGCCTTAGGCGACTATTTTAATGGTCGGGGCTCTAGGGTTGACCTTGCTATACCTCATCCTATTCAAATGATCGAAGTATTTGTGCATCTTGTAACAATTATAGTCTCTACTTGTGCCTCATTATGGACTCTTCGTCTATAAAATCGATTAAGTGAAATAAATTAATTAATAGATGACATGCAAAGATTAAAGGTAACACATATGTTACTCCATATTTTATGCATTTTTTTTTAATTTGCCAAAAATAATGTGTGGACTGTTATAAGATACTATTATAATAAAAATGTTCAATATTACAACGTGGTGTCACATAATTTTTCTTTTTAGTAATTTAGACATTTAATATATATTAAACATTACATATGTGTTATTTTATATCCATATTATCTGAGTGCAAATATTCAATAATAGAATCCATAGGAATTGTAAATGTACATGGATTATCATGGCTAAGTACACATTTTTTAGTAAATAGATCTGCACATCTGTTTGTCTTTCTCATCTTTTGTTTGAACTGCACGTTTCAGAACATAATATATTATTTTATTACTATTTTTCTGTTCTTTTTATTTGTTTTATATGTTCATCAAGAAAATTATGGTATTACATTATCGACTATCAGTATGTATTCATGATTTTTTTATTATCTTGTTATTGAATTATTTTATTATTTTGTTATGAACCATAACTTGTTTTTGCATGTGACGTTCACCTATTGTTTTGTTGTATTTTATTTTCTCTAATAACAACTTTATTACAAGTTTTTTTATATGAATTATTTTTTATTGTGGATCTTTTATGAAAATAAACAATTTAATTAATTAGTGTTTTGTGCTTAAATGAGAATAAAATCGAGTTTGAGAGAAGTAAAAAATGTGCTCGATTTATTTTTATTTGTTGAAAAGAGATATACTTATTATACTTTTTTATTTATTTAAGTACTAACCTTTTTTCTATTCTCTAATAAATTTGCATGTGTAAGTGTGGAGTAGATTGCACTTTTAGACCTAAATTCAAAATTTTATTTTGCTGACTTAATTTTTTTGAAACCTTTTTTAAAGCTAAATTATAATAAGTTTTAATTTTTAATTTATATTTTACTAGGGATAACCCGTGCCTAAAGGCACGGTGCAACGTAAGTAAAAAGAGATGGATTTAGGAGGATAGAAATTCATTGTGAATGATTTTGGGAGGAATGTTAGAGGCCATTAGATGAGTCTATTTAAAACCATCGAATGAACTTATTAAAGTCTGTCTTACTTAATATTATGGATTTGAAACAAATAAAAGTAATATTCTATAATATTTAATCTTCTTTCAAATTCTATATTTTACTTAATTTTGACTATATATTCTATAATTTTTGAACTAAATAAAGTTCCAACAAATCATACCAATACTCTAAGGAATCAAATTTATTTTGCTATTTTTAAGAGATTTGGTATAGATTTTTTTTTTTTGGTTTCTAGTACCCAACTTGTTTGACGCAATTAATTTTTTTTTATAAATCATTATAGTGGTCCCAATTAAGAATATCCAAAAAAATATATAAAACATATATAAATAAAATCCAGGGTGGTCCTAGACCCCTCCTCTATTCGCCACTATCAGAGAGAGAGAGAGTGAAAGGTGAAAAGATGAAGGTAAAATTCAATCTGAATAATTTTCAGAGCGATATAGGTGGTCGTTGAATGAGTTTATTTGAGACAGTCAGATGAACTTATTGAAGTCTTTTATGATTTATTTTATAGATAAATTCACTAAATATGATAGAATTGACTTAAAAAAATTAATTTATATACATGTAATAAAAATCGAACATTAATTTATATATGTAATCAAAATCGAGTCAAATCTACAAATATAAAAAAAAAAAACGTTGAATTTTCTATCAAAAAAAGTTCTACAAATATCATTTATAAAATATTATTTTTTAATTAGTACAAGTTATTACAAAATTATTAGTTTATAAAAATATATTAGCATTGAATTTTCTTAAGAGATAAAAAAAATTAGTCTTAAACTTTTGATTTAAGGTACGTGTAAGACATGTTAGTTTGAGATAATTAATTAAATAAATAAAATTATAATTAATTATAATCAATATAAATGTGTTAAGTAATACTCTTGTTTTTTTTATTTGTTAAATTGATGAGTTTTTTTTAATCAAAATATTATTAATGTGTTTTATAAAAATTCAAAATGTTACACTACACAAATAATATTAATGACAAATTTGACTCATTTAATTATTACTCCCTCCGTTTCTAAATATCTGTCGTTTTATACAATTTTTTTTGTTCCATAATATCTGTCGTTTAATGAAACTAAAGTATAATTAATATTTTTTCTTTCAAATTTATCATTAACTGTTCATACATTAGATTAGATAGAAGTTAAGTGTCTTTCATATTCATTTCATTTCCAATACGTATTGAATAAGAGTATTTTAGTCGTGTATAATTATTTTTTATTCATATTACAACTATTTAATAGCTTCCTTAATCTCTGTGCAAAAACCTTAAACGATAGATATTTAGGAACGAAGGGAGTATGTTAAAGAAAATCCTGCGTTCCAAGACCAACCGTAATCGTCGACCAATTGGAGGGAAATATTAAGAAAAAAGTGGTAATTTCTTGACTGTTAGATAAATGAATTTGAGATCATAAGATGTGTCCAAATCAGTCGTAATTGTTGACCGGTTAGAGGAGAAATATTGAAGGAAAAAAAAATAATTTCTTGATCGTTAGATAAATAATTTAAAACCGTAAAATGAATTTGTTGAAAGTGCCCTATTTTATATTAGTGATCAGTAAACTCTAAGTTTAGTTTTTTTTTTTCATGTGCGAGCCTAGACCTCATTCTTTTTCGGATCTACAGTTTAGCCGGGCATGCATATCTTGAAGGAAGAGATAGTTGTTAAAGTTATGGGACTACCTCTCCGAAAAATGTTAGCTTATCTCTTAGAATGAGGTCTCCAGATGCGAATCAAACACTACTACGTATCTAGGAGAGATTCAAGGGGACACAACTACTTTTGAGATACTTATTAAACATTTATAGCTTACCCAACATCGATCTCTGTAGATACATTTGAATCTGTAGGCCATTTACAATCCTCTTCAACTCAATTCCATGGCTGAGATTCGTGAAGATTCGGTCATGGCGGAGTCCGATTCCCGGGACTGCCCCATCAAACAAGTCAATGTAACAGTGCCCAAAACCGATGATCCCAACATGCCGGTGCTTACATTCAGAATGTGGGTTTTGGGGATCACTGCTTGCGTTGTATTGTCGTTCGTCAACCAGTTTTTCTGGTACAGGACTGAGCCATTGACGGTTAGTTCAATCTCTGCTCAGATTGCTGTCGTGCCGATTGGGCACTTGATGGCGAGAACCCTTTCGAATCGAGTGTTCTTCAGGGGTACGCGCTGGGAGTTTACGATGAATCCGGGGCCGTTCAATGTCAAAGAACATGTTTTGATTACAATATTTGCCAATGCTGGTGCTGGAACTGTTTATGCCACTCATGTATTAAGTGCTGTTAAGCTTTATTACAAGAGGAGGCTCACGTTTATCCCTGCCTTTCTTGTTATGATTACCACCCAGGTGCCTGTCTCTTTCAATCTCTTATTCTTACTGAACATGTCATGATTACCACCCAGGTGCCTTTCTCTTTCAATCTCTTATTCTTACTGAACATATCAATGATCTTACATATAAGTAAAGATGTGGAATAAAGATTTCATGGAGTTCTTTGAATTGGTTATTGAGGAGAACATGGAAGGATGTATCTGGGAATTCTTAGCGGGTAGTTGGTTTAAATCTTGGTTTTACATCTGCTAAAATAAGGTATAATTTGGGGCTAATGAAACCAAGTTTAGGGAATTTTGGGAATAATTTGAACTTTTTTACATGAATACTTGAATTACAGATGTAGAGATTAAATTTGTTTATTATCTTGACTCAGCTGCCCAAATATTACTTTTATATGATGATATAATTGACAATAGGGTCAGATGTTAGTTACAGGTAAATGCATACAGCCCTGATGGTGTAAGAGCTTATTGATAGCAACTTAATAGAATTCTTGCAGTGCTTCAACCTTTTTCATATATAAATTTGTAGGTTCTAGGATTTGGTTGGGCAGGGCTTTTCCGGAAATATCTGGTTGAGCCAGGAGAGATGTGGTGGCCAAGTAATCTGGTTCAAGTCTCATTATTCAGGTATCTAACCTCCTTCATTGTTCTGCATTAAGTATCATTGCAGCCTTGACTTCTATGCTCACTTTATTATTTCGTACACATACAAATTAATGCCACAGGGCTCTACATGAGAAGGAGAAGAGACCCAAAGGTGGCACGACTCGTACCCAGTTCTTCCTCATTGCTTTAATCAGCAGCTTTGCTTACTATGTCTTCTCTGGCTTTCTTTTTCAAATGTTAACAACAATTTCTTGGATATGTTGGCTTGCTCCCAAGTCCATCCTAGTGCAACAACTGGGCTCAGGATCACAAGGACTCGGGATTGGCTCCTTAGGATTTGACTGGTCTACCATTTCATCATACCTGGGCAGTCCTCTAGCCAGCCCATGGTTTGCCACTGCAAATGTTGCCATTGGATTCTGTGTTGTGATGTATGTGATGACACCTCTCAGTTACTGGAACAATGTCTACAATGCCAAGAACTTCCCATTATTTTCTGAAGATCTTTTCACGTTAGATGGTTCAAACTACAACACTTCAAGCATCATCAATTCCCACTTTCATCTTGACAAGGCTGCTTATGCAAAAGCTGGGCCTCTATATATAAGCACCTTCTTTGCTATGACATATGGTATTGGATTTGCTACGCTTTCTGCTACTGTCGTCCACGTCCTACTTTTCAATGGAAGGTACACTCCACCGCATTCATATATTTTGACTCCTGAGAACACACCTTGTAACCCAACTTGTCTAAGTTAAAAACTATGGTTTGTGGAAATAAATGACCCCGGTAAAAGAAGAATTCAGATTCAAGGCTAGCATTTGGCACAGAATTTTAAGCCTATGCTTATACAGATTTGTGTCCTCTTTTGAACTTTTGCTGTCAATGCAATGTATTTCTGTGAAACTCGGGAAATGATTAAAGTAACTCTCCTCTGTCTATATCATGTAAACTTTTATGTACTGTCCCGTTGAACTAAGAATTTTCCATTTATCAAGTGTTGGTGCCCACCATCCATGATATGAATTAAGCTCTTATGGTTCACTTTCCAAACCAAGCTAAAAGCTCCTTTGAACTTTTACTCTTTCAGGGATATGTGGAAGCAAAGCAGGAGGGCCTTTGAAGTGAATAAAAAGATGGATATACACACACGGCTTATGAAGGCATACAAACAAGTTCCTATGTGGTGGTTTATCATCATTCTCTTTATAAACATCGCTGCTATCATGTTCGCTTGTGAGTACTACAATGACATACTTCAGTTGCCTTGGTGGGGTGTCTTGCTAGCGTGTGGCATTGCACTGTTTTTTACCCTTCCAATTGGTATTATCGTTGCCACAACAAACCAGGTAAACATCAAAGTTATTTAAACCTGTATGTAAAATCAAAATCATGTGATGTTTAAACACTGATATTTTTTGTCCATTCTCTTTCGGGTGAACAGGCACCAGGTCTTAATATTATCACAGAATACATTATTGGGTACATGTACCCAGGGCGCCCTGTTGCTAACATGTGCTTTAAGGTGTATGGATATATCAGCATGACTCAAGCTCTAACATTTTTGTCAGACTTCAAGCTTGGTCACTACATGAAGATTCCACCCAGAGCGATGTTCATAGCTCAGGTCTGTTTCTCAAATGCTCTAGTTTGCCTGTGGATATCAATGAACAACACTAACTACTATGAACATTTCAGGTGGTGGGGACACTTATATCAGTAGTAATCTACCAGATAACAGCTTGGTGGCTGATGGGAGCCATCCCCAACCTTTGTGATACTTCTGTGCTGCCATCTGACAGCCAATGGAAGTGTCCAATGGACCATGTGTTCTATGATGCTTCTGTTATTTGGGGGCTTGTTGGACCTCGTAGAATCTTCGGAGACCTTGGTGTCTACTCTAATGTCAACTGGTTCTTTTTAGGTGGAGCCATTGCTCCTCTACTAGTCTGGTTGGCACACAAAATATTTCCACAGAAGCAATGGATTGGCCTCATCCACATGCCCGTCTTGTTAGGGGCTACAGCAATGATGCCTCCTGCTTCCGCTGTCAACTATACCAGTTGGATTATTGTGGGATTCCTGTCAGGCTTTGTTGTTTTCAGGTATCGATCTAAGTGGTGGGAGCGCTACAACTATGTCCTTTCTGGTGGTCTTGATGCTGGTACTGCCTTCATGACTGTGTTAATGTTCATTGCCCTGCAATCAAGGAACGTTGAGCTTAGTTGGTGGGGAAACAGTGGAGAAGGATGTCCACTGGCTTCGTGTCCAACAGCCCCTGGAATATCCGTTGATGGCTGCCCAGTTTTTAGCTAGAATCTTCAGTTCAGTTAAACCTTTTTGATTTTTTCGTTAGGAACATTGTTGGTCCACTCTGTAAATAGTTTGTTTCATGGATTCTACTCTGACAAATTAGCTTTTATATTGATCAAGTATTTCTTGGGTTGAGGCCATTATTACCGTTTCTGAAGTGGATATATTTGTGGATGGAGCAATTTTATTGAGACCTTATTACAGGATCTTATTTAGAGACCTAATGATTTGTCTTCAATGTAACTATTAGATTAATTGTGAGTTCTAATATTAGATGAAATCCACAATCAATCTAATGATTGTATATTAGTAGGTCCCCAAATAAAGTTCAAATAACATTTTCCTTGTGGATATTGTCTGTTCCTTTGGGTTATCACAGAGGCTGTATCAAATATTGTTTTTTGAATTTGAAAAATTCCTAAAAATTTAGGGACTATTTTATATTTAAAAAACAAGTGGGATTCTTTCATAATCGTAAACCTGAACTTATTCAACATAACTCGGTGTCATAATTCCATTTTCACTCTAATAAGTTGTAGTTCTCTCTTTTACCTTTGCAACGATAACGCACATCACCGAAAAACTAATTTATCAATGAATTTTTGGGTGTCCACATTATGAAAACTTGAAATAGTTGTGAGTGAAAAGGGATACTCAAACTAAGAATAGAACTCCATATATATAGTCAAATAATAATACAAAGTGATCAAAACATCCTTGTGGTATAGGCAAAATATAAAATCATAGTAAGGGTAAAAAAGGGAAAAAAACCCTAATAAACTAGACTATACTCCAACACTCCCCCTCAAGTTAGGCGCAAAAATATCAACTAAGTCAAGCTTGACAACAAAGTCCCGAAGAATGGATAGAGTGACAGGTTTGGTGAAAACATTCGCAATCTGATCACTGGCTCCCACAAACAATGGAGTGACAATACCACATCGAACCTTCTCCCGAAGAAAATGAACATCGATCTCTATATGCTTTGTCCTCTCATGTAATACAGAGTCAGAAGCGAGCTGAATAGCAGATCAATTATCATAATATAATGTAGATGAAGAAGCCACTGGAAATCTCAACTCGCCAAGAATCGATCGTAGCCAGATAATCTCACATGTGCCAAGTGCCAGTGCCCGATACTCTGCCTCTGCTGACGAACGAGAGACAATTACTTGCTTCTTGCTCTTCCAAGAGATAAGATGAGTCCCTCGAAAAGCACAGAAGTCCGTAGTAGATCGACCGTCACATATTTTCCCATAATTTGAATTTGAATAACAGGCTAGAGAACCAATTTGAGATTCTGATGCATAGAACAACTCAAGTCCAAGACAAGACTTGAGGTACCAAAGAATATGATAAACTGCATCAAGATGAGGCTGACACGGCCTGTGCATGAACTGACTAACTCGACTGACAGCGAATGAAATGTCTAGCCTAGTGTTGGCTAGGTAGATAAGTCTACCTACCAACCTCTGATAAACAGTCGGATCTCGCAACTCCTCACCTTCAACAGTAAGCTTTAGATTTGAAATCATGGGTGATGATGCCGGTTTGCACCCCAACATCCCAATGTCTGAGAGAAGATCCAAAACATACTTTCTCTGAGACAAAACAATACCCCTGCTGCTACGGGTAACCTCAATCCCAAGAAAGTATTGCAGAAATCCCAGATCCTTCACATCGAAGGCCTTCCCAAGGTCTACCTTGACCTGCATAGTCCCAGAAATATCATCTCTAGTAATAATAATATCATCAACATATACCAAAAGGATGACACACTGTCCAGAAGTATTCCGTCGAATGAAGCAGGTATGATCAGAATGATATCTGGTGAACCCTAAACGTACAACTACATCACTAAAGCGAGAGAACCAGGCTCGTGGTGATTGTTTCAGTCCATAGAGAGACTTACGCAGTCGACATACTTTTCCAGCATACTCCCCTTCACCACGAAAGTCTGGTGATGCATCCATATAAATAATCTCATCCAGATCACCGTGAAGAAATGTATTTTTTACATCCAACTAATGAAGAGGCCAAGAGTATTCTGCAGCCAGAGAAATAATCAATCGAACAGTAGTTAATTTTGTCATGGGGGCAAAGGTAGCACCAAAATCATGACCTGATACCTAAGTAAAACCCTTCGCCACAAGCCTAGCCTTGTGGCGATCAATAGTACCATCCGCAAGAAATTTCAAGGTGTAAACCCAGCGACAGCCAATAGGCTTCACCCCTGAAGGTAAAGAGACAAGATCCCACGTATGATTGCGCTGAAGAATCCACAGGGGCTCCCGCATAGCCTCTGAAACAGAGCGAGGAACCGACATAGATCACCATAAGAAACATAAAGCAGAGATCAAATATAAAGTCCTGACCGTCCAACCATAACGGACAACTGGACGGTGATCACGCTGCGGATAACGATGCCCTAAATCATCATCCTCCACTGACAATGTCTCATCAGAAAAATTAACTAGCTCAATACCTGCAATCTCATCAGTACTAACAACAGGTGCATCAATATGCTCAACAAATTGAGAAATAGTACCTGCATCACCTAAGGTAGAGGGGACATCAGCAGGGGGATAAGAGTGAGGGCGACAAACATAAACCTGTAAAGGAAGAGAGACTGGTGACTCTGTACTGACAGGGACGAGTGGCTCTGGTGGAGGAGGGACTGATGACTCTGTAGTGATAGTGACTAATGATTCTGGTTCTTATGGTAACGAAAAATAAAAGGGAATATCATCAACTGGAGGGGCAGACACAGGAATAGAAGAACAATAAGAAATGTGCTCAAGAAAGGTAACATCTAAACTATGATACATACGGCGCCTAATAGGATCATAACACTGATACCCCTTAGACTGACGACAATAGCCCACAAAGACACAACGAATCGCTTTATCATCAAGCTTATGACGAGTAGAAGACCGATCCTGAACAAAACATATGTAGCCAAAAACACAAAGGGGACCAAAAAAAGTTTTCGCTCAGGGAATAAGACTTGTAAGGGAGCTCTATGCTGAAGAACACGACTCGGTGTACGATTACACAGAAAGGTAGAAGTCAAAACAGCAAAATATCAATAAGATTTTAGTACCCCCATACCTCTAAGCATACAACGTACCATCCCTATTAGACTCCTATTTTTTCTTTCAGCAACTCTATTTTGCTCAGGAGTATATGGACAAGTGAGTTGCTGAAGGATATCCTAAGAAAAATGGTGAAACACTAAGGCATCAGACACATATTCTTTGGCATTATTCGAACGAAGAGCACGAACAATGACATCGAATTGTGTCTTAATCATCTGAAGAAACTGAGTGATGATAGGGAGTACATCAGACTTCCTATGCAAAAGGTAGACCCAAGTACAACGAGTATGGTCATCTACAAATGTCACATAGTAGCAAGCACTTGACAAAGCAGTAACAGAAGAGGGTCCCCAAATATCAGAGTGTATTAGGTCAAATGACTTGTGTGATTGGTGCATGCGAAGAATATAACTGGTTCGAACATATTTCGATAGGGAACATAAAACATAGTCAAGTTTATCACCAACACAAGCATTGCTCAAAGCAGAAAATAACATACATAAATATTTAAAATTTATATGCCCAAAATGGTCATGCCACAAACTGAACAGTTTGTGATGAAAAATCATAACGATAAGTACTAGGCAAAATACTATCATTTAAGTTAGGAACAGATAGAGACAAAGCAGGTGCAGATAATGGAGGAGGAAGAACTGGTGAAACTGGAGGTGGATCGCCTAGATAATACAATTCATCTCTCTCATGTCCCTTGATAATAATCCTTTTGGTACTCAGGTCCTGCAAATAACACGAATCAGATAAAAATATAACCGCACAGTGAAAATCTCTGGCTAACTGATGTACGGATAATAGATTCATGGCCAATTTTGGCGCATGAAAAATCGAATGTAATGTAAAGCCATCTGGAAGGCGGATTGTACCCCTAGTAATAATAGGGGTATGTGTCTCATCTGTTAGCTGAACCTGTGTATGTAACTGCTCGTCAAAAGTGGTGAAGTGATGAGTCTCACCCGTCATATAACCATTAGCACCCGAGTCAAACATCCAAAGGGGAGACGAACTGACGCAAGTATGAAAAGCATGAGGTATACCAGTAATAGTCACAGCAGTAGTAGTCGGACCTCAAGAAGTCAAGACCGACATACGTCTATCCAAGTGAGAAGTGATAACATCCATATCACTTTGCCAATGAGGAGCAGTAGTAGTAGTAGCAGGAGCAATGACTATAGGTAATGGTGTCTTACCAATGACAACAGTGTGGCTGCGAGAAGACGGCTTAAGCTCCGGATGGAGCTTCCAACAAGTAGCCCTGAGATGTCCTGATCGGCCACAATAATCACATTGACGAGAAATTGCCCGTCTGCACTGATTTGGGATGTCCCGTCGGCGCTGGTCTAGGCGACCAGACAGTACATTCCAAGTGGAAGTACTAACAGTGGATGTCTCAACGGTAGAGGTGTCAACAATAGGGGTCTCAAAATCCTCAATAATAGTCATATCAACAATAATAGTATGACCCACGTGACAAAAAAAATAACTCTAAAATAAATAGAGGGATAAAAAAAAATATAGAACAATATACCTCTAATCGAACAATAGCGACAAATAAAGAAGGTCCAGAAAGCTCCCAAATAATCAGGTCACGATGCTCAGAAATCTAATATATAAATAAATGATCTACTGTATCAAGAGCAGATCAACGTAGAAGAGGATTCAAGCCCTCTTAAAACGGTCCTAGATATTGCAATCTAGCAGCATTGTGACGAAGAGTGCGAACGACGAAGTTACAACGAAAAAAAAAATGCGACCCAACAGTGGGCTGATGAGTGACCCAGCAGTAGGCTAGGTGGCTGGGTTATTGGGCTGGGTCGCTGGTTGCTATTTTTGGGTTCGCTGGGATGTGGGCTGGTTTGATATATGTTTAATGGGCTGGGTCTGTCGCTG